ATGGTGAAACCTCATCTCTACTAAAAATACAAAAGTTAGCTGGGTATGGTGGTATGCACCTTTAATCCCATCTACTCTGGAGGCCAAGGCAGGAGAATTGCTTGAACCTCGAAGGTGGAGGTTGCAGTGAGCTGAGATCATGCCACTCCAGGCTGGTCTTGAATGCCTGACCTCAGGTGATCTGCCCGCCTCAGCCTCCCAAAGTGCTGAGATTACAGGCGTGAGCCGTGCTTGACTTTTTTGTTGATCTTTAAACCATACCACCCAATTTTGTTTTGTTTTGAAACTGGATCTCACATGCCCAACCCAATTTCTTAATTTTTTGACAGGAGAGAAAGGAGTCGTGCATAATTGATAGGAGCATCACACAAATCTGACTTTTGCCTCTTTTTTCTGCTACTCACTGGCTGTGTGTTGGCTAGAGCAGGTTGCTTGACTTCTCTGGTCTTCTATTCAGTTGTTTTTGTTTTGTTTTGTTTTGTTTTGTTTGTTTTTTGAGACAGAGTCTCACTCTGTCACCCAGGCTGGAGGCGCAGTGGCACAATCTCGGCTCACTGCAACCTCCACTTCCCAGGTTCAAGCAATTCTCCTGCCTCAGCCTCCTGAGTAGCTGGGATTACATGTGCGCACCACCATTCCCAGCTAATTTTTGTGTTTTTAGTAGAGACGGGGTTTCACTGTGTTGGCCAGGCTGGTCTCGAACTCCTGACCTCGTGATTCACCCACCTCGGCCTCCCAAAGTGCTGGGATTACAGGCATGAGCCACCGCGTCTGACTCAACTGTTATGAAATTGGTAATTTATCTCAGTAAGAATGGCTTGAAAATACTATTAAGTATCCCCCCTCCCCCGCCACCCAGGATCATATTCTTGAAGTGCTTATCTTTTTATTGCTCGCCATATACTTACGGTGGTCATCAAATATTTTAGGTATTACCCTTGCATACATGAAAGATACTAGGATTATGCAGTTACACCACAGTAGCTTAACTTTTCCTATCCAAACTCTCATTTTCTAAACTCAGCTACATGAGGATACTTTCAGAGATGGAGTCTTGCTCTGTCGCCCAGGCTAAAGTGCAGTGGCACAATCTCAGCTCACTGCAACCTCCACCTCCTGGGTTCAAACGATTCTCCTGCCTCAGCCTCCCAAGTAGCTGGATTACAGGCATCTGCCACCGTGCCCGACTGATTTTTGTGTTGTTAGTAGAGATGTTGTTTCACCATCTTGACCAGTCTGGTCTTGAACTCCTAACCTCATGATCCACCCACCTCGGCCTCCCAAAGTGCTGGGATTACCATGCCCACCCAAGGTTACATTTTTAGATCAATCTCTTGCTATCTAAACTCTTTTTGCTTGGGGTTTGAAACACAGCATGTCAATGGATTCAGGTAACAAGTTACCTCTTACTATCAAAATTCTTAGAATCCAGATACCAATAGATTAGAATATTGTGGGATCCTTGTGTAAAATTAAGCAGTCTTGACTTAAACAAACTTACATACAAAAATGCATATTGCCCTAGACATTGAGTTACATCATATACTTACAATACTTACTAAAGGGTGGTACATTTGCAAAGGCCTAAGTGTTTATCTAGTACAACCAGCAATCTGTTACCTTTATGGCCTTTTCCTAAAAGTCTATGTAATTTTGAAATTAGAAATTTAAATTCTAATTTCTATTATATCCAAACCTTCCTTTCAGCTTGATCTGTAATATTGCTCCAAACCCTTATTTCAACTTTCTTTTCTTTTTTTTTTTTTTTTTTTTTTTTTTTTCCGAGACAGAGTCTCACTTTGTTGTCCAGGCTGGAGTGCAATGGCATGATCTCAGCTCACTGTGGCCTCCACCTCCCAGGTTCAAGCGATTCACCTGCCTCAGACTCCCGAGTAGCTGGGATTACAGGCACCTGCCACCACACTCAGCTAATTTTTGTATTTTTAGTAGAGACGAGGTTTCACTATGTTGGCCAGGCTGGTCTCAAACTCCTGACCTCAGGTGATCTGCCTCCCTCAGCCTCCCAAAGTGCTGGGATTACAGGCATGAGCCACTGCACCCGGCCCTCTTTTTTTCTTTTTCAACAGTTTAATCTTATTTTCACATTTGTATACACATATACTTTCCCTTTTTTTCTACTATGATGTCGCAATAAATATTGTTTATAAACTTATTGTGTGTAAAATAATAAAATATACACACAAGCAGCCGGGTGCGGTGGTTTACGCCTGTAATCCCAGCACTTTGGGAGGCTGAAGCAGGCAGATCACGAGGTCAGGAGTTCGAGACCAGCCTGCCCAATATGGTGAAACCCAGTCTCTACTAAAAATACAAAAAATTAGCTGGGCATGGTGGCATGCTCCTGTAATCCCAGGTACTCATAAGGCTGAGGAAGGAGAATTGCTTGAACCTGGGAGGCAGAGGTTGCAGTGAGCCAAGATTGTGCCACCACACTCCAGCCTGGATGACAAGAGCGAAACTCCGTCACTAAAAAAAAAAAAGACATATATATATATATATACACACACACACACACACACACATACAGAAGCACACTTACTGGTGCTTTTATTTCTGTGGGCTGAATATCTCAGAGTAGTATTAGTGGGTCAAAGGATAAATGCATTAGAGCTTTTAGATATTTCCATATTGGTTTCGTGAGAGATTGGAACACTTGACATTTCTAGCAGCAGGGTATGAGAGTACTTTCTTCTCTGTATACCAACAACAACATGTTTTACGATTCATTTGAATTTTTTTCTGTCTCCACTTACCAGATCTAATGCCCTGCTACTTTAATTTGCATTTCTCTGACTGCCAGTATGTTTATTGACCATTTGATGTGCTGTTCTATAAATTGCCTGTTCATATTTTGCCCATTTTAAACTTGCTATCCTTGTCTCATCTAACTCAGCTTCTTTACCCTGTTAGCACACAGGTGTGTGCTTAAGTATTTACCTTTTTAAAACTCAGTTACCTACCGTACTAACCTATATGAAGAACCATACATGTTTTGTTCCTCAATCTATGCCCAAGAACCCCCACACCTATTAAACTTTCAGTTGAACAAGTGGTTCCTACTCCAGGTTAAAACCTTGATCGTGTTTAGACCAATACTTGGTCGTGTTGTTGATCCGTTCCGTTATGTCCAGCAGTCGCCATCATTCCCAAAGATGACTTTGCATATTTCTTCTCTGATCCGTTATGTATTGTTTTCACAGTTCAATTCCTGCAAGCCGTCTTACTCTTGTCCTTTCATGGATTATCTGTTCACTAAAGTGAGGCTTAACATTAAAGGAGTCTCCAGGCTGGGCACGGTAGCTCACGCCTGTAATCCCAACACTCTGCGAGGCTGAGGCAGGTGAATTGCTTGAGTCCAGGGGTTTGAGAACAGCCTGGGTAACTGGGTGAAACCCCATCTCTACTAAAAATAGAAAAATGCGCTGAGCATGGTGGTATCTGCCTGTAGTCCCAGCTGCTAGGAACGCTGAGGTGGGAGAATGACTTTAGCTGCAGTGAGCTGAGATTGCGCCACTGCACTCCAGCCTGGGCAACCAGAGCGAGGTCCTATCTCAAAAAAAAAAAGGAAACTCTAAAGTAAAACACTGATTTGTGGGTTTTCTCACTTAAATTGTTACTCCTGGGAATTTTCTTTGAACTAAATTTTCTTGAAACATGTAAGATTTGTCATTTATTTTCCCTTGTCTTTCTGGGAATATTTTCTGGGGAAAATGAAAATTAGTTAATTAAAAAGATTTAATCTAATTTTTTCGATGATTGTATTACTCTCTTTCTCTTTAATCAATTAGAATTATGTCAGTTAAAATAATAATTTCTGTGTTTTGTTTTGTTTTGTTTTGTTTTTGAGACAGTCTTTCTCTGTCACTCAGGCTGGAGGGCAGTGGCATGATCTCAGCTCATTGCAACTGGGATGAGATGAAAAGTTAAAGAACTTCACGTTACAGAACTACAAAGATTATTATACTTAGATGTACTTATAGACAAAGAAAACATTAATAGCATGTAGAATTCTGAAAATACTTTTCTTTTAAAAAGTGACAGATTTAGTACATACCATCAATAAGAAGAACCTTTCATTTGGATGGAGTGTAACAACAAAACCAAGTAAATTTTATTTTTCAAGTACTATTTGTGCTTTATATTTTTATTATTGCAAATTTTTTCTTCCCGAGACAGAGTTTCACTCTTGTTGCCCAGGCTGGAGTGCAATGGTGCAATCTCGGCTCACTGTAACCTCTGCCTCCCAGGTTCAAGCTATTCTCCTGCCTCAGCCTCCCGAGTAGCTGGGATTACAGGCATGGGTCACTACACCTGGCTAATTTTATATTTTTAGTAAAGACGGGGTTTCTGCTTGTTGGTCAGGCTGATCTTGAACTCCCAACCTCAGGTGATCCGCCCTCCTCGGCCTCCCAACGTGCTGTGATTACAGGTGTGAGCCACCGTGCCAGGCCTGCAATTACTATTTTGAGATAAGATCTCCCTTTGTCACCCAGGCTGAAGTCCAGTGGCATAATCTCTGCTTACTGTAACCTCAGCCTCCCAGGCTTAAGCATTCCTCCCACCTCAGTCTCCTAAGCAGCTGGGACTACAGGCATGAGCCACCATGCCCAGCTAATTTTTAAAGTTATTTGTAGAGATAGGATCTCACTATGTTGTCGAGGATTGTTTGGAACTCCTGGGCTCAAGCGATCCTCCCGCTTTAGCCTCCCAAAGTGCTGCAATTACAGGCGTGAACCACTGTTCCAGCCTTTGCTTTTTAGTGAGCATTTATAGAGCACATTATATATGCTATTCACCATGGTGGGTACCAGACACAGTCACTCTCCTCAAGGAGCTTACTTTCCTAATGTGATGTAAGCAGTTAACTGGAAGCCCTCGAATCCAGACTCCTTTAAAATACTTTCAAAACACTCTTTTCTAATAGAGATTATTAATATTTAAGGAATTTGTGTTTATGGAATTGTTTTGTGCTCTTTTAGGAAATTAATTCTGATCAGGCTACCCAGGGCAACATCAGCAGTGACCGAGGAAAGAAAAGAACAGTAACAGCAGCTGGTGCAGAGAATATCCAACAAAAAACAGATGAGAAAGTAGATGAATCGGGACCACCTGCCCCTTCCAAACCCAGGAGAGGACGTCGACCCAAGTCTGAATCTCAGGGCAATGCAACCAAAAATGATGATCTAAATAAACCTATTAACAAGGGAAGGAAGAGAGCCGCAGTGGGTCAGGAGAGCCCTGGGGGTTTGGAAGCAGGTAATGCCAAAGCACCCAAACTGCAAGATTTAGCCAAAAAGGCAGCACCAGCAGAAAGACAAATTGACTTACAAAGGTAATGTATGCCATTCTTCCTGAAGTGGGAATTTAGACATTCTGTTTTATTCCTAGTATATCCTTAGTGCCAGTCACCCCAACACCTAAGCATTTGAGAGTGAAACCTGCATCTGGTTTTCCTGGGTCAGTTTATAATAGCATCTGTTATTATCTCATAACCTCCAGTTTTAAAGCATGAATTTGCAGAAAAATCTTTTTTTCTTTGTGTAATTTTTTTTAGTATATGGTATTTTGATATTTCTATTTTCGTTAACAAGACAAGTATTTCTTTCGCTTAGTGCCTTTCAAGTGGTTGCAGAGGTTTACATAAAATAAGGGCTACCTTTTGGATACAATTTCCCATAATGGAGAAAACAGTCATGAAATGTCAATAGGTAATAGGCCCCACTCTTTAATTCTTCATTAATTCTAACACAGGTCAACAACTTACATCTTCCCCACCCTGCCCAGAGAAACGGCTTACCAAACTGTTCATCTTTGATCATTCTTGGGCTGAGATTTCAGACTTTTCCTTTTGGAAATCTAGAAGGTGGCTCTTTTCACCTTGGCCTTAGAACTTAACTCGTCCTCCTTTTTTCCTTACATACCTAACTCATTTACCCCTGAAATTAGACTGCAGGTATTTGAGTTTCTTCTAGGGAAGAGTCCCAGATTTGATCAGCTCAGGATACCCCCACTATCCTGCTTCATTATTTTTATAAAACTCAATGTCAGGCCAGGCGCGGTGGCTCATGCCTATAATCCCAGCACTTTGGGAAGCCTAGGTGGGTGGATCACCTGAGGTCAGGATTTCAAGACCAGCCTAATGAACATGGTAAAACTCCATCTCTACTAAAATTAAAAAAAAAAAAAGAAAATGCAGAAAGTTAGCCAGGTGTGGTGATGTGTGCCTGTAATCCCAGCTACTTGGGAGGCTGAGGCAGGAGAATCACTTGAACCCAGGAGGCAGAGGTTGTAGTGAGCCAAGATTGCGACACTGCACTCCAGCCTGGGCAACAGAAGGAGACTCTGGCTCCAAAAAAAAAAAAAAAAAAGTCACTGAAGCATATGTATAAAAACATTTAAAATATTGTCATTTATGAGCTGGGCCCCGGTGGCTCACACCTGTAATCCCAACACTTTGGGAGGCCAAGGCGGGCAGATCACCTGAGGTCAGGAGTTTGAGACCAACCTGGCCAACATGGTGAAACTCCGTCTCTACTAAAAATACAAAAAAATACAAAAAAAAAACCTGGTCATGGGCATGGGCACCTGTAATTTTAGCTACCCAGGAGGCTGAGGCAAGAGAATTGCTTGAGCCCAGGAGGCAGAGGTTGCAGTGAGCAGAGATTGCGCCATTGTACTCCAGCCTGGGCAACAGAGTGAGACTCCATCTCAAAAAAAACAAAAAAATTAGCATTTATGAAATTCTGAAATTTTGAACTATTAAATTTCTACATCATCTAAGTGCCCTCTTGGCAACCTTTCGCATCCTCTCATGGCATCTGATCCAGAAGGCTCAAACCTGATCTGAGTACTAGTGTGTTTCTCCTACTCACTTCTGTTTCTATTAACTAGTAAGTGTAGTAATGAAAGCCAGTATTAGGGGCAAATTTTACATGACTTTCTTCTCAAACCTGGACTTTTATTGAACCTCTGCTTCCCTTTCTCATTAGTATGACAGTATGTATCTTAAAGGGTTCCTCTAAGAATTAAATGGATCAGTAAATATAAAGAAAGCACCTAGCAAAAGGCCTAGTACAAAATAAATGCCCAACTGTTATCGTTACTGTTTTGAATTCTAGTTTCCTTACCCCTTAACATACATTTTTCAGTTATAAGAAGTTGAATGTTTCCCTGGAGATTGCCAAAATTCTCTAAACAGTTTCAAGAGATCTGTCCTTTTCTTCACCTACACACAAAAAAGTACTAATCATCACACACAGGTTACCTAAGCCACCTGACCTTACCTACCATTAGCTGTCCCTGTGCCATCTGACTAAAACGTACAGATACATTCTTGAGGCCAGGTGCAGTGGCTCATGCCTGCAGTTGCAGCACTTTGGGAGGCCAAGACGGGCGAATCATCTGTGGTCAGGAGTTTGAGACCAGCCTGGCCAACATGGAGAAACCCCGTTTCTACTAAAAATACAAAAATTAGCCGGGCATGGTGGTATGCACCTGTAGTCCCAGCTACTCGGGAGGCTGAGGCAGGAGAATTGCTTGAACCTGGGAGGCAGAGGTTGCAGTGAGCCAAGATCCGGCCACTATGCTCCAGCCTGGACGACAGAGTGAGACTCCGTCTCAAAATTTAAAAAAAATAAAAAACAGATACACACTTGAACCCTGAAAAGTTTTTCAATAGCAATTAGACCTTCTCTCGTTTACAGCATTGTAAAATGCATTGCTTTGCTTTTAGCTACACTATGTGCCGCAGTATCATCAAACGGCATTTGGCCTTCTCTTTACAGAGTGAAAAGGCACATTAGAGATCTTAAATATGCCAGTAGTAGATCAATGGGCAGTGTGTCATTCAGAATACGGTATTCTGTGATGGTTTTCTAGTCTCAGTGGCAATGTTTATGGCCAGATGCGGTGGCTCACACCTATAATCCCAGCACTTTGGGAGGCCAAAGCCAAGGTGGGCAGATCATTTAAGGTCAGGAGTTCAAGATCAGCCTGACCAATGTGGTGAAAGCCTGTCTGCACTAAAAATACAAAAAATTAGCCACATGTGGTGGCATACCCCTGTAATCTCAGCTACCCAGGAGGTGGAGGTTGCAGTGAGCAGAGATTGTGCCACTGCACTCCAGTCTGGATGACAGAGTGAGACTCCATCTCAAAAATAAATAAAATACAAAATTAGGCATGATGTTGTGTGCCTGTACTCAGGGGACTGAGGTGGGAGGATTGCCTGAGCCTGACACTGAGGGTAGTGGGGATAGGCTTTAGTGTTTAATGGGGATGGAGTTTCAGTTGGGGAAGGTGAAAAAGTTATAGAGAGGGATGGTGGTAAAGATTGTACATAATATAAATAATTGACCGCTTCAGAAAGGTCATGGAAAAGTGGAGTTAAGAGATAAAAACATAAACTTTATTTCTCAACATAAGCTCCATCAACTTCAAGACAGTTTTGTAAGCAATGATAAAAGCCATTTAGTCCATCCCCAAAGAACTGAGCGTCCGTTTAACCATTTCAAACTGTTTTTTTCATTATTGACCAAAAGAAATTGGTACTCTTTAAAGATTTTTTTAAGATTAAGACGCAAAAAGAAGTCAGAAGGTGCCAAATCAGTACTGTAAGCGGGATGCCTAATGATTTCCCATGGGAACTCTTGCAGAATTGCCCTTGTCTGGTTAGAGGAATGAGCAAGAGTGTTGTCATGGTGGAGGAGGACTCTAGTGAAGCTTTCCCGGGCATTTTTTTGCTAAAGCTTTGACTTTGATTGAACACTCATAATCAGATGTTATCATTTGTTGGCTTTCCAAAAACTCAACAAGCAAAATGCCTCGAGCATCCCAAAAAACTGTTGCCATGACCTTTACTCTTGACCAGTCTACTTTTCCTTTCACTGGATCACTTGACCACTTTCACCTCTTAGTACCCTTTTTTTCTGAGACAATATGTGACTCTGTTGCCCAGGCTAGAGTGCAATGGCGTGGTCTTCCCTCACTGCAGCCTCAACCTCCCTAGTAGCTGGGACTACAGGCACATGCTATCATGCCCTGCTAAATTGCTTTGATTGTGCTTTGTCTTCAGGATTGTACTGGTAAAGTCATGTTTCAGTTCCCATTGCAGTTCTTTGAAGAAGTGCTTTAGGATCTTGATCCTACTTGTCTAGACTTTCCATCAAAAGCTCTGCTGTTGTCTACAGCTGATCTAGGTGCAAAGGGTTTTAACAGCCAGTGAGTAGAAAGCTTGCTTAATTTTAATTTTTCAGTCAGAATTTTGTAAGCTGAACCAATTGAAATGACCACAGTATTGACTATTGTTTCTGCTTTTTTTGTCAGTCCTCTTGAATTGGCAAAAACAAGATGAATTTTTTTCCTCATAAATTAATGTGGAGGGCATGATGTTCAACATCGTCTCAACCTTTCCTGAAACAATTTATCCAGCTGGGCATCATAGTTCATGCCTATAATCCTACCACTTTGGGAGGCTGAGGCTGGCAGATGACTGGAGCCTAGGAGTTTGCGACCAGCCTGGGCGATACGGCAAAACCCCATATCTACAAAAAAAAAAAAAAAGAAAAATTAGCCAGCTGTCTGGTGTGTGCCTATAGTCCTGGCTACTTCAGAGACTGAGGTGAGAGGATCACCTGAGCCTGGGAGGTCAAGGCTACAGTGAGCCATGATCATGCCACTTCCTCACTGCACCCTAGCCTGGTTGACAGAGGATACCCTGTCTCACACACACACACACACACACACACAATTTACCAATTTTAAGCTACTGATTTCTTTGGGGCATTGTCCCATAAACTTTTCCTAAAGCATCAATGATTTCACCATTCTTGTACCCAAGCTTCACCAGACATTTGATGCTTTTCTTGCTTCAATTTTAGCAGAATTCCTATTGCTCTGATAGGGACTCTCTTCAAACATTTTTTTTTTTTTTTTTTGAGTCGGAGTTTCACTCTTGTTGCCCAGGCTGGAGTGCAATGGCACGATCTCAGCTCACTGCAACCTCCGCCTCCTGGGTTCAAGCGATACTCCTGCCTCCATCTCCCTAGTATCTGGGATTACACACACCCGCCACCACACCCAGCTAATTTTATTTTACTTTATTTTTTTTTGGTAGAGATGGGGTTTCATTATGTTGGCCAGGCTGGTCTTAAACTCCTTGACCTCAGGCAAACCACCCACCTCGGCCTCCCAAAGTGCTGGGATTATAGGCGTGAGCCACCGTGCCCGGTCTCTGCACAACTTTTTTGAGAGACCAGTCTCACTCTATCACTGAGGTTGGAGTGCAATGGCACCATCATGGCTCACTTTGTTCTATGAGAGCACTGAGGCTCAAGCAGTCCTCTTGCCTCAGCCTCCCAAGTAGCTGGGACCACAGGTGTGCACCACAATGGCTGGCTAATTTCTTTTTAAATCTTTTGAGTCTTGCTGTGTTGCCCAGGCTAGTCTCAAACTCCTGGACTCAAGCAGTCTTCCTGCCCCAGCCCTCAAACTTTTCAAACATTTTCAGTGCCTCATACTAGATCCTGTTGAGATGTAACAAGTTAGTATGAGTTTATTTTGGTGCGCAAAAAAAAATTTTTTTTGAAATCCATGCATAATTATTTCATAACATCCGTTTTCCATGAACTTTTTGAAGACCCCTTATATTCTTGTTTTGGGTTTTTGAAATGGAGTCTTGGTCTGTCACCCATGCTGGAGTACAATGGGGATATCTCAGCTCACTGCACCCTCTGCCTCCTGGGTTCAAGGATTCTCATACCTCGTCCTCCTGAGTAGCTGGGACTGCAGATGTGCACCACCACGCCCGGCTAATTTTTGTTTTTGTAGTAGAGACGGGTTTCACTGTGTTGGGCAGCCAGACCCCTAATATTCTTTTTTTTTTTTTTTTTTTTTTTTTTTTTGAGACAGAGTTTCGCTCTTCTTGCCTAGGCTGGAGTGCAATGGTGTGATCTTGGCTCACCGCAACCTTCGCCTCCCAGTTCAAGCAATTCTCCTGCCTCAGCCTCAGCCTCCCTAGTAGCTAAGATTACAGGCACACACCACCAACCCTGGCTAATTTTGTATTTTTAGTAGAGACGGGGTTTCTCCCTGTTGGTCAGGCTGGTCTTGAACTCCCCACCTCAGGAGATCCGCCTGCCTCAGCCTCCCAAAGTGCTGGGATTGCAGGTGTGAGCCATCGCTCCAGTCCCTTTATATTCTTAATGCCATTAAACTCTGTACTTAAAAATTGTTAAAATGATAAATTGTATTTGATATATATTTTATCACAATTTTAAAACTTACTGTGTTAAAAAACAGCTAACAGTAATATAGTGCTTATTATAAGCCAAGCTCAATAATAAGCTCTTTGTTTGTGAACCCATGGTATCCTTAAAACGACTCTATGGCTGGGCACAATGGCTCACACCTGTAATCCCAGCACTTTGGGAGGCCAAGGCGGGCAGATCACGAGGTCAGGAGTTCAAGACCAGCCTGACCAATATGGTGAAATCCCCTCTCTACTAAAAACACAAAATTTAGCCGGGCATGGTGGCACGTGCCTCTAATCCCAGCTCAGAAGGCTGAGGCAGAAGAATTGCTTGAACCCAGGAGGCGGAGGTTGCAGTGAGCCAAGATCGCACCATGTACTCCAACCTGGATGACAGAACAAGACTCCATCTCAAAAAACAAAAACAACTGTATGTGGCTTAGTACTGTCATTCTCCCCAGTACTGTCATTTCCTCCTCAAAGTGGAGGAAACCCAGGTATAAAGGGCTATATAGCTTTTGATCCCTTATATAAATGGGATTATAGGCGTGAGCCGTTGCACCCAGCTGAACACAGTTTTAGTAACTAAGTAAAAACAGTAGTTTATTTGAAATAATCACCAGTTAAATTAGATCAACTACTCATCTTTTTCACCTCTTTTGGTAGTATATGCGAACAAAATCCTTGCATTTTAGGGTCAGAGAGGAAAACCGAGAGGTAGATCAGATGTTTTTGAAAGTGGCATACTTTAATTGAATGTAACACCCAATGCCAAGAACAAGACTGGGGTGAAAATTAAAAGTTCAATTAAAAGTTCAAATGGGCTGGGCATGGTGGCTCACACCTTTAATCCC